GCGAAAATTTTTGACTTTTGTGCTTGGTGCGTTTTTGGTGCTTTTGTTTTTAGTTTGAAGACTTCAAATTAGAAAATCTTAAAAAATGGAAGCAAAATTTATAGCAATCGTAAGTGTGCTAAGCAATTTAAAAAAAATTTAAGCAAAATCATCGCACAGTGACAATCATAAGCGACAACGAAATATGTGCAGCACCTTCAATCATGCCAGAAGAAATCGACCGTTGTGCAAGAAACATTGATTTTTATTAATTTGAATCGGCATCCTTACAATAAAATTATGTATTCATATAAAGTCCATAAAATACACCAATAAAAATTTGGTGCTTTTTCAAATTCAAAACTTAGCAATACTGCCTTTTGTTCGATGCTTCTTCTTTTTCTTGTCGAGTTCGTCTTGCTCCCTCATTCTGGTATATTTTGACGTCACGGCCAGTTGCTCTCAGCTCGATTGGCGCAATCCACGATCCAGAAAATAAAGGTCGCGCCATTCGCGGACCGCTAACCCTCTCTTCGTCGATTTGACAGCATCCACCCATTCGCTGACGTCACACAATACTTTTGTTTACATTTTCTGGTTCGTGACGTTTTAGGTTATTTCAACTTTACAAATTTACAAATTCGGAAGACTTTGAGCGTTGTTTTGTTTTTTGTGAAAACTGATAAAAAAAAAGTTATAAATTAAAGAAAAAAATTAGGTGTGCAGTGGTTAATTGTGCTAGTGTAAGTGCCAAAGGATCTGGGTGCGCTTTTTTTACTTTTCCGGCCGACATTGAGTTGGTGGAAAAGTGGATCCAGTTCTGCCGGAGACCAACGATTTTCAACGCCCGAACCAGCGTCATCTGTGTAAAACACTTCACCACTGATGACTTTGAGAACGAGCTTCAATATAAAATGGGTAAGTTATACTATTTAATTCGCCAATAAACGCTTATTGGATTTCGTGAGGATGGTGTGACTCAGGAGTAAATTTCACGAAAGGTAGCCGCCCTCATCGTAAATATGAAACCCCCCGGAAGCTTATATTTTTCACTTTTCATTAATACTGCTTTTTATTAAAAGAAATGTTTTAAATTGTGTTAGGCTACGCTAAAAAGCGTAAACTAAAGCGGGGCGTTGTGCCGACAATTTTCAAGCCTGCTGCGGAAATGCCAGATCCTGACAAGGAAGCCCAGCAGCAAGTGTACAAAACCATTGTGAGCGATCTACTGGAGCAGTCCACTTCCAAAGGCATTACAAGTTTATATAGTTGAAGTTCTCCTAGTTATAAAAAAGTAAATTTCAGAAGCCGAAGGTCTTATGGGCCATAACCGCGCGGAGGAGAACTGTGGCATATTGCCAGATGCCTTGACGCCTCTGTGTTCCCCACATCGTGCCACAACACCTAGCAAGGTGTTTTACTATGACAGCACGCTTAAGGAGGTTGAGGATCTGCAAGAAAAATTGTAAGTTCAAAGTTTAATTAAATCTACATACATACATATATATATATATCTATACAAACCATATTAAAATTTTTTTTGTTTATACGTATTTATGTAGACGAGCTTCATTACGCGAAAACGCTTTTCTCAAAAGCGAACACAGCAGGCAACAAAGCGAGATTGCGGCTTTAAAGCGAGAAGCGCATTTGCAGCAGAAAAGGCATGACTGGGAAGTGGAGTCATTGCGTAAGAGCTTGTCGGAGGTGAGGATGGAGTTGGCAAGTGTAGAAGAAAAGTTGGCAAAAATTTTCTCTGCTGGTCAGATCAGCAAGATGAAAAAAGGCACGAAGAGGCCAACTTGGACGGAAAAGGACATAGCGCAGTCCATTACGCTATATGCTGCAAGTCCCAAGGCATACCGTCTGCTGCACAAGCAAGAATTTCCACTTCCTGGAGTTCGCACCTTGCAACGTTGGGCCCAGAAGGTAGACATTTCTAGAGGACTAATTCAACCAGTTTTCAAACTGCTCGGAGCCTCTACTCACATGACCACCACCCAGAAGCTATGTGTTTTGAGTTTCGACGAAATGAAAGTCAGACAGACTTACTGTTATGATGTTTCGTCGGACTCAACACTAGCGCCCGTGAATTATGTTCAAGTTGCTATGCTTAGAGGTAAGTACTACAATCAACTTTGTTACTTTGATGTTATGATTTTAAAATGTATATATATTTTTAGGTGTTATGTCAAAGTGGAAACAGCCTGTGTTTTACGATTTCGATCGTAAAATGACCTTCGAGGTGCTAGCGAGCATTTTGGAGAAGTCGCAAAGTTGTGGGTATAACGTTTTGGCGATTGTGTGCGATCTTGGGGGCACTAACAGATCCCTCTTCAATGACCTGTCTATAACAGAGGAGAAGCCGTGGTAAGATACCAAATTTACAAATGTACATATATACTGTATGGTCAATTATTTCAACATTTCGTTATACAGGTTCATTTTCAACGAGCAGAAAGTATTCGTTTTTGCTGATGTTCCTCACTTGCGGAAATTGCTCCGAAATCATTTCCTTGATCAAGGGTTTCTCATAAATGGGAAACCGGTGAAAATAGAAATCATTTTGGAGTTGTTGTCATGCACCTCCACGGACCTGACGATCACACACAAAATTTCAGCAAGTCATGTGAACGTGGCTGGACCTCACCGCCAGAAAGTGAAAACGGCTGGGAAACTATTTTCGCACACAGTTGCACAGGCCATAACGAGGGCTGCAAGTTTGGGCCATTTAGCAGATAAAAACTGGAACGAATGTTTCCAGCTCTTCAAAATAGTAAGTATTAGTAAATAAATATAATTCTATATGCTTACATCTATACATACATTTATCTCCCATTTGTTCACATTTTAGACAAATGACTGGTTTGATGTGCTCAACGTGAGGGTGCCTCACGCTGATTCAAGGAAACGGTGTCACGCTTATGGCTTAGCGAAGGAAGAGCAGGACAACATTTTGGATCAAATGACTGCTTTGGTTAAAACTATGAGGGTAATTGGAAGGCAGTCCCTTCTTCCATTTCAGAAAGGTAAACTTAAAAACTTATATGAAAACTATTAAAAATATTCAATTCTATTTTGTTTCAAACCCCTTAAATATATATGTATGTATATATACATAAGTACTTGTTTTTTACCTTTCAGGAATCATACAAAGCAATAATGCATTGAAGATGATGTTTGATGAGATCAAATCTCGCTTCGATGTTAAGTATGTATTAACATATCGCCTCAACCAAGATGTCTTGGAAAACTTCTTTGGTGTGATTCGTTCAAAAGGTGGGTTGCATGATCACCCGGACCAGCAGGAGTTTAAGTACCGCCTCAGACTTTATCTGCTTGGCCACAACAAAGGCGTTTTGTCAGACTCTGCGAATGTAGAGGAGGATGATACGCCGGACTTGGAAATGACGCAACCCCCACTCACAGGTTCTTCAAAAATTGTATTCTCCAATTAAAATATATTATATGACATATTATATTCTATTATATTATTATATTATATTATCATATTATATTATACGACATATTATATTATCAGGTATATTCCTGCAAAATTTGCAAGAAGGCCCGGAACTATGGCCGGTTGAAGAAGCTGAGTTCAGCGACTTGGAGCATGATGGCCTCGAGCATTTAGCCGGGTATATTTGTCACAGACTCCAGGATGACATCCCCAGCACATCGCTCAGGAGCAATGACGACCCGTCGTTTTCATGGGCAAGTCACTTGAGCGAGGGTGGCTTGAAAGTACCCAGCTCTGCAATGATGGACCAAATGCGTCACTTAGAGTCAGTGTTTCAAGCAATGAATGAAGATGGCTTGCTTATTACAAACGACTTTGTAAAAAAACACATTGAGCAAGCCTCGAATATCCATTGCGATATTAAAGTAAAAAAAATATTTTTCAGGGCAAGAATGTTCTTTAAAATAAGAAAACTAAACAAAGAACTCATAGAAAATGCCCACAGTAAAAAAAGAAAATATAAAAAAATATTGACTTAAGTGCATTTGTTACCATCAACAAATAAGCAAGGTATGCAGCAGGCCTGGTAAGTGAATAAATTCTATATTTTTATATAAATAAAATGATATAGTGAGCTATAAATTTACATATTGCAAAAACATTACCAAAATTCTTTTCTTGCTAGCTTTAGGGTCAACATCAACATCTGGAGTACGTGCACTCATGTGATCAGAAGTGAAATATACCTAAGATGAATGCGTAGAATGCTTCCCGTAAGGAAATGGTTCATTAATTGCATAGCAATATAAATTCATTTAATTACAGGTAAATGCTCTTGATACACCAAAAGGCCCTTTTCAGGGCCGCCACGAATTGCTAAAGTGATCAAATTTTTTGCAAACATTAGCTTCCCTGTGTTTGTATACATAAAGGGCCCTTTTCAGGGCCGCAAAGAATTTACAAAGGGATCAAATGCTTTATATAAGCTTATCTGGGTCTACATACACAATACCATATATACACAAAAGGCCCTTTTCAGGGCCGCAAAAAATTAACAAAGAGATCAATTTTTGACTGTCGTGATAACGAATAAGAAATGTACATATGAGTAGTCCACTTGCAAACAGCGTTATGTGATGTTATAATAGAAAGCCATAAATTTGAAAAAACGACTACGACAACAAGTAACATTTAAATTTAATCTTTTTTATTACCTAAAAATTTGGATAAAAAAGAGCCTTATAAAATTGTAATGTAACATAACATGTCATAAGATAACATTAACAGTCTATACGACCTAAAGCAGTTCTCTAAGTTCATCAGAAGATAGATACTTTTGAAAGTTTATAAATAAGTATGATAGCGACTTAACATTTGATGCTATTTTTTCAGAATATAAAAAGAGTTTGCACTCTGTTGTTACTGGACATGAAACTACTTTAAATACTGGTACGTAATCCATCAAAAACTAAAAATCGAACAAATTTTACATAGCGCCCTTTGCAAGTCGTCGTTTAAAGTACAAAACCGCGTATCAACAAAATGCAAAACCGCGTTTGTGAGGTTGCATAAATCACCACCAACAATTTTTTAATTGTGTGAAATTTTATAATAAAACTTGTATGTTAGCTTGCGAATGCCTTATATATATATAGCTTTAGCCGTTTAAAGTTTCTGCAATACAACAGTACGACAGTATACAACTGTTTGAAGTCGGTGCCCATGCTGGCTAATTTAGATTGTAACGCATACACCATGATGTAAGTCAATTCTTGAATCTCTTGCGGTCGATCATCAAAAAGACTCTTCTTTTTGGCCACTGCAAAAGAAAAGGTAAAGTAATATTAATAATTAAGAACACCTTTTCATTTTATACTCACGCATTGTCAATTTTTCCAACTTGGCATATGCACTTGCTATGTTTTCGCCAATATATTTTGTGACCATCATAAATTCCTGCACCATAGACTGTAAGAAATGCGTAAACATAATAATGTAAACATCTTCAAATGCACTTCTACTTCTAACTTACTTGTAAGTCTCTAATCTGTTCCTCGTACATAAATTGCGTCTACGTCAAGGTCTCTATACGATTGCCGCCTTGGTTTACATTGGCCTTATCCGACAACTGGCGTATGATAAGCTGCGCCATTTCTAACTCATTTGACTTTTCTTTGAACTGATGTTCAACATCGGGAGCACGTTCCTGCATTACATCTAACAGCCTTTTCATTTCATCCAGATGAGCCGCTTGATGTGTGTGAAGGTTTGTTTACAAAGTGAATTTTTAAGTAGTTGAACAAATGCCAGTGGGCAGCCAGCGTTCCAGTTGCTGGCAATAATTTGCAGGCTTGGGCCAGCGTTTGTTGCGGCTGCCGGAAAAGTAGCTAAATAATGAAAGTAATTATATGTATAGCGGAGTAGGAGGTTTTCCTTTATTTTAAAAGCTTGGTTACTGATTTCACTAATTGACGACGATGCAACGATCACCGTGGAATCGTTCTGCAAATTGTTACCAGCAACTGACCCGCTGGCTGCCCGCTGGTATTTGTTCAATTACTGAAAAAATGCAAATCATTATAATGATTGCAGTGATTTAACACTTTCAGCGATTTGCATTGCATTTAATAAGTACATATTCTTTACTTTTAAACAACCAATTTACCATTTAAAACTAAATAATTCCGTAAATCCGCGATTTATTATGCACTTTGTAAACAAACCTTTCAATTTCGCCCCAGCTGTTCGATTCTTCTTCTTTTTCTTATTGAATTCGTCTTTGCTCTCTCATTCTGGTATTTATTGACGTCACGGCCAGTTGCTCTCAGCTCGATTGGCGCAATCTTGTATTCTATCATTCTTGGAGAACGAGCACACGCTCAAAGAGCATAATCATCGCGTGTACGTCAGTGTTGCCACTTGAAAACATTTTTAGGTACCAAAACGCCTACCAAATCAGTTTCCAAACTACCAAAATTTTTCATCATTAAAATGAGATTTCACGAGTTTGCGGGGGTTTTAGGTACACAAATTAGCAGTAAAAATTAGAACTACACATAATATTGTTTACAATATTGGTTAATTAGTCACACCAATCTTTAGGATAAAACAAAATAAATTCGGGCCTTTAAATAAAATAATTAAGTTATTGTTTAAAAAACTGCTGTAAAATATGTTAATATCTTTGAGATTGATTCAATTCATATCAAAAAATCATTTTTCGTGTGTGAAAAAAACAAAAGCAGACATTTTATGCATTTCAATAAAAAAATTTCCAAATTTGATTCAATTTGCATGCACTCGCCCTTTTTACCAATACACTCACACTTTGCAAATTGCCTATCACCAATTTTTCTTTCATAACGATAGGTAATTTCTTGTTAATTTCAACAGCTAATCGGTCATAGCTTTGGGAAGTAAGTTTTTGTTTGCAGAAAATTGCCTGCTTAATAAAATATATAAAAATATAGAGAAATCTTATACGTGTAAGCAGTATTTTGAACGTGTAAACTTAAATTAAGCGAACAAATTTTAATGTTCAATTTAGTTGTATTTTCAAAACATTTTTGCCTACCAAAAGCTTCATCAAACCAACCAAGCTACCAACGCAGAATGAAGCTACCAATTTTGGTCCAATTGGACCAAAACGGCAACGCTGGTGTACGTATACAAGCGAGAGCGTAACGATGAGAACGCGACAGCATGCAAAATTAATTCAGCACACCAACCCATTCTCACTTTTAGCTAACGCTTGTTTGTGGTAGTGCCCACGTCTGCTCATCATTCATTTGCGATATAATATCGCAACGGTGGGCAATCGCGGCTCTTTGAGCCAAATGCGACTCTTTCTTTGTTGGACATTCTTTTCCATTGTGTTGTTTTTTTATTTTATTCTTTTTATATACACACTAGCAGACCCGGCG